TAATAAAAGAGCATATTATATGAGAAATGCATGTCATCTAGTTTGCACAGGTTGAAGAGGGCAATTGAATTTCCTCTTCCTGAGTGGATAGGAGGAATGCCACTCTAGAAAGAGGACTCTCTTCCTTTCTTTCCACTTTTGCCCCATTTTAGAATGTCTAATCTATCTTAGTTGTGTACATTAGGTATTCAAATAGCACCATTTCCTTTCCTTTTGCATTGTTTGGTCAAAAGGAAAATCAATGAGATTACTTTCTCATTTGAGTGTTCCTCTCTGTACTATTTCTAGGATTGGACGACCTTTTTAAATTGGCAAAAGCGGCCCAATCCCTGTGGCTCGGGAAAGGAGAAAAAGAACATCACTAAGAGTGGCTCCAACTCTATCCATCCATTTCTTTTTTAGTCTCTAAAATGTTTCTGAAAAAATGAAAGTGAAATTAATCTGTTAAAGATCAATTTTGCCTATATCAAGTTCTTTTTTAATCTTAAAGGTAAAGCTTCATGCTTTCTTCCGTCTCAATGACAAATATCTTGTTATCACTTCATTTAATATGTACTCTTTAATTAATTTATTATTTAATCATGATAAATTCATATAATTTGATGTAAATACCGAGAGTAGTTCTTCCCCTCCTTTTGCGAATTGTTGGTATGAGGCAGAATGAGATTCGTTCTAAACTCTATAAGTACATACAAGATTTCAATATAAATGCGAGCTAGGGGCCTTAAAACACAAAATGACAAAACCCTTTGGTCTAAACTCCCTACTAAGCTGCCAAAATGGGATTTGATTAAAAGTTTATAGAGCTGCCAAAAAGAAATCATTTTTCAAAGAGAAAAAAAAAGAATTTAGTGTAACGATCCGACCTGTCGTTTTGAAACTAGCGTCCCGTTCGGTAGCTTAAGGTCTCGAGTAGCTTCGTATTGTGTATTATAACTTGTGTGTATGGTCAAATTCGATTTTTGGTGACTAGGATTGATTTGGAAGAATGGTTCTTGTTTTAGAAGCTAGAGTGGTAAGAGTTGACCAAAATTTGACTTTTATATATATGACTTCGGAATGGTGTTTTGATGATTCCAATAGCTTCGTATGGTGATTTTGGACATAGGAGTATGTCTGAATTTGAATTTGGAGATCTGTAGGTTGATTTGATGCATTTTGGCAAAAGTTGAAAAGTTGAAGGTTTGGAAGGTTGAGAAGCTTGACCGGGAGTTGACTTTATTGATATCGGGTTCGGATTTCGATTCCAGGAGTTGGTATAGCTCTGTTGTGTCATTTGGGACTTACACGCGAAATTTTAGGTCATTTCAGGTTGACTTGATATGATTCGACGTGAGTTGTAGAAGTTGAAAGTTCATTAGTTCTTTAGGCTTGAATTGATGTGTGATTCGTATTCTTGATGTTGTTTCATGTGATTTGAAGCCTCCAACACGTCCACGTTATGTTATGAAACTTGTTGGTATGTTCGAACGGGGTCCCAAGGGAATCGGGTGCATTTCAGATGGGCTACGGGCCAATTTCTCATGTTTTGTGCTAGTTCTGATATCTGGTGTTCTTCATCGCGATCGCGTTGAAGCAGTCGCGTTCGTGTAGAGTTATTATGGAAGCAAGCATTTTGTTCTTCGCGGTCGCGAAGAGGCGACCGTGTTCGGGAAGATGGGAAGACTGGTGCCTTTGCGTTCGCGCATCAGGTATCGCGATCGCGTATAAGGAAAAACTAGAAGGGTCATCAGGGGTTACTCTCCGCATTCCCGATGGAGATAATGCGTTCGCGATCATTGCTTGGGATTGTGAGTTGCGTTCGCGACTGAGTTTATGCGTTCACAAAGAACGTTTTTGGTAGCTTGTGATTTTGTGCTTTGCAATCGTGAAACATGTTCCGCGATCGCAAAGAGGAATCCCTAGGCAGACAATATAGTACTCTGTTTTAAGGGCTTTTGTTATTTTATAAAGAGCTCGGATTTAGGCAATATTGGAAAGGATTTTCACGATTTGGATTGGTGTAAGTGTTCTTGACCCGGATTTGGTTATATTTCATGATTCCATCTTTGTTTTAATCATTAAATTAGTGATTTAAATTAGAGAAATTGGGATTTTTTTGTGAAAACTTTCTAAAACACAAAAATGATAATTTGAAGGCCGATTTAATATCGGAATTGGATAATTTTAGTATGATTAGACTCGTATTGGAATGAGTGTTCAGATTTTATGAGTTTTGTCAGGTTCCGAGGTGTGGGACCGGGGTTGACTTTTTGGTTTTCATTAAAAATCGAGGCTTTATTATCCAGAATTATTTCCTATGGCTTTTATTTATGATATTAAGCTATTTTGGCTAGATTCGAGCCGTCGAGAGGTTGTTTATACGAGAAGGTCATTTTAGAGTATTGATTTAGTTTCTTTGAGGTAAGTATCTTGCCTAACTTTGTGTGGGAGAACTACCCCTTAGGATTCGGGTTAATTGTATTATTTGAATTATTTGAAAGATGTGTATGCGAGGTGACGAGTGTGTACTCGGCTTATATGTGAAAATTGACCGGTTTAGACTCTTAGGCTTCTTTCATGTATTTATTTGAAGTGTTAGCACATGTTATATCTTCTATTTGTCAAGCTTACTCTCACATGCTTTATTTGAAGTTGCTAGCACATGTTATATCTTTTACTTCTTAAGTTTACTCTTATATGCTTTAGTTGAAGTCGTTACCTCTTTTATTATAATGTGACCTCCTTTATTGTTGAGTTATTCTTAATTGAAAATTGTTGTTACATGATATCCTTTCGTTGCTGGGTTATTCTCATGCACTTAGACGTAGTTGTTAGTTCATGCAATCTCTTTGATTGTTAGCTTATGTCATACATTAGAATTCGAACTTGCCATTCCATAGAAATACCTTTATTATTGAGTTTATTCATAAGCAATTAATTGAATCGAAGTTATTGAAAGCCATTAACATGTTTTAGTTGAAGTTGCAGTTTAATTGAGTATTTTCATTGTTGAGTTACTTTTCCCTATTTCATTTTGTTGCTATTGAGATTCGTGTATGCATTATGGTTGAGTCATGGGCTTTGTGTTGTGATGATATTGGTATTATTGTTCTGGAAAGTATTGTGGCTTATGGGCACTTGTGGTACGAGTTGATATGACGTGTTGTTGTGATGTTAGCACACGTGATTTATTATGTGGATTGATTGTGATTATGCGGAGCATAAGGGTGACATCTCATTGTTGATGACCGTGTGGAGTGATACGGGTGGTTATTGGTATATTATTTGGGCGGAGTGATACAGATGGCTATTGTGTTAATGTCTGGGAGGAGTGTACGAGTGGTTATTGTGTAATTGTCTGAACGGAGCTATACGGGTGGCTATTATGCAGAGTGATACGGGTGGCTATTGTGTTATTGTCTAGGTGGAGCGATAAGGGTGGCTATTATGATGTTGTCAATACGGAGAGATAAGGGTGGCTATGCCGGGGATGATTTTTGGGGGCATAATGTTGATGATATTCGTGTGATAGTGTGATTTTTCTTGTGTATATCATGCACCTTACGTGACTTGTTGTGTTGTTTCCAATTAGTTGCTCGATGTCTTGATATTACTTGTTGAATTGGACTATAGTAGTACACTCGCACAAGCACACACCGTAGCATATCGTTTACGCCGGTTCAGGAGTATGAAACTTGACATTCATTGATCGTGTCCATGTATTCTTGTATTATCTGCTTCCATTATGATAGTGAGCATGTGACCATACCGGGTGGATTATGGTATTGAGCCTGTGACCACGCGCGGGCGAATTGTGATTGTGATGATGTGATCATGCCGGACGGAATGAGATATTAGCACGTGAGTTGTCCGTGCGGTCGTGATTAATAATGTGGGCACGAGGTGCTGTGAACATATGATTTGTGATTTAGGACTCATGACTTGTGATTTTGAGATGAGGTATCCCGGAGTAATGTTGTCGTGAGCCTTGTGTTAGAACGGCCTGATTAGTTGGTTGTCATTTGTTTTCCTTATTTGGTTTCACTGGTGCTTTAACGGTATTCGGATTACTTTACTGTTTATAACACATGTTAATTCCTTGCTGGCATTTTATTGATTCTTGCTTCATTATTGGCTTTATGCTTATACTGCACATGTTATTATGACTAGTAGGTGTCTTGACTTGAACGTCGTCACTACTTCACTGAGGTTAGTCTTGATACTTACTGGGTACCGGCCGTGGTGTAGTTATACTATATTTCTGCATATTTTTGTGCAGATCCAGGTATTGGAGATAACAGACTTAGGCAGGGTTAGCTCTGGATCGCGAGGATTCAAGGTAGAGCTGCTTGGTTGTCGTAGTCTCTTGAAGTCGTTTTCCTTTTTATTGTATCCCTCTAGAGTTCGTGACTCTGTATTACCTAGTCTTGGGAGGTGGTTGTGATTATTTCCGCGTAGGCTTGTTTCACCTTTATTTCGGTATTTATATTAAACTTTGCTTTTAAAATATCATTGTTAAACTGGCTTATCTGTTGTTAGTAATCAGCTTACCTAGTCTTAAAGACTAGGTGTCATCACGACGCCTATGGTGGGATTTTGGGCCGTATGCTCCAATGATAAAAGTAGAAAATAATCCAATTAATCCACGACAAACAACCAAAAAAACATTTCAAATAAGAAAGATTCTTCAGCAGGCCAAAACATTACTAATCATGGTCTTTATATAAACGGGTTTTTATGCTAAGGTAATAATTAATCATTAATAATTAAAATCAAAGAGTGACAAGCCACCGCGATCTCTTGGCCGATTAAACCAAGAGAAATGTTTAGTCAAAAGTTGATGGCTCCATTTTGAGAAAAATAATGTGCTTAATGACCTTGTCTTTTAACAAAGAATTTTTCAAACATGAAACCATGATATTTTTGTAGAAAACATAGAAGAATCAAGTCAAACATCGTTTAATGTGTTGCTACTTGAATCAAAGACAACAACAGCTCATTTCAGTTTCTGGCTGAAATAATAAAGGGCCACATTTGGCTGTACAGTTAGACATATATTAAAAGCAAAAGAGTAAACCTACTAAACATGTAAGTACCAATTTCGACACAGTTGTTTGCTTCACTGGACAACGTCGTGTTGAATCCATAACTAATGAACAATCAAGAAAACATATTTACAGACAACTGTCATCTTTTTTGCCTCTAAAACCTCAAAGTTACTGTAATCAACTTTGCTAAACTAGATCTTAAACCTAGAAAGAGGGAATGTAGGTTAATATAGAGGGAATCGAATGTACACTGGACGAGGACTATGATCTAAGTTTTCAAGAATAGGACCTAACCAAACCAAAATTACAAAAAGATCTGGACTTGAATAGACCACCAAAAAGGAACCTGGTTGGAGATTCTTGTGGAACTGGATTTAACTCTTCGATGTTGCCTTTCACTCTAAGTATTGTCTGTCCAATTGTTTGACGAACAGATTCTATTATCTTAGCATCAACAGGATACCCTGAGGAATCGCGAACATAGAATATATTTAGAGCTTTGCCTGCTCTCGTTGTCACTTCCGCTCTGGTGACAGTGAGGCTATTCTCGCGGAAGATCCTAGTAACATCAGATAGTAGTCCTACTCTGTCCGTCGTACATAGCTCTAGCTTCAATCCCTGGACAAACACAAGAAATAAAATGATATTCGGTCAAAATGGAATCCAAAGCCTATAAGACAAGAAAATGACATTATAGAATTCCAATATCTTGTCCAACAGAATATTTCCAAACCTATCTGACATAACTGAGGCAATAAATTAACTTGTAATAAGAAACAATGGGGTGGAGACATCATCAGACAACTAATAGACACATAGATTGGCAGAAGTATGTATTAGACAAGCTAAAGGAGATACCTTTACCCTACAAAATAAAATATACACTTCCCCTTTTTTTTTACTCATTAAGTCAGAATTGTCACAATGCATCACCATTTTCAGACAAGGTAAGTTGATATCAGTGCATTCAAAAACCAACATTCACTACTTACTATTTTAAGTGCAATTTACAGATCCAGACTTATACATGAAGAAGCTAGCTAGAGATTATTAATTGTGAGTTATGGACCTAATAAAATGATTTAAGAAAGTAAATCATTAGTGCTAACCTCAGATACTCTTCTTTCTATTGCTGCTTCAAGACATTGTATCACTCTTTGCCGCTCTGCGTCAGATTTCACCGGGGATCCGTCTACATGTCTTATGCAGTACTCCTTCAATGAAAACAGACTTCACCATATTAGTTAACAAATTTACAGAAAACTACATCCACTTTGAGCACAGTAACAAAAAACAAAAGAAGTTCCGAAATGAATAGGAAAATTGTAGTACCTGGTGAGCTTGTGGTCCTTCAGCATCAACATTGCCATGGAAAACCACATACTGCATATCTGTCAATGTACAAATAGTATCAAAGAGAAGCTTCGGTCTATCTTTGCACTTGATTGTAACAACCGAGTAGTCCTTGTCTTGCCAATTAACAACATTCACATTAGGCCTGTCTTTATCATCCAATCCTTCACCAGTAGTACGTTCATAGTCCCGGTCTGCAAACATCAGCTGGTGAAGCCGTCTCTCAGTATGAGAGACCCCATCGGATACTATTGTCTTTGCATCCCTTAATTTATTGCTACCTCTAAGTACATTGCACAAGAGTTGCTTCATCGTAGACAACCTTTCCGGGTCAGTAATTGCACCTCCATGTTCCTCATCAGTAACTTGCATTATCGCTGCTGCTCGGGTGTTATGGGTCCACACCTCAGCATTTACCACATTGCATTTGAGGTTGGTAAGGACAGCGCTCACCTCAGACAATAGCCCAGGTCTATCACTTCCAATTAACTCAATTGAGGTGTGGTCCATTCCTGCGGTAACCCCAACCGATCTTCTCATAGATGACGCAAAACAAGAGTCTGGACCAAGAGACTGAAAATGAAACCACTAAAAAATTCAGTTCCTTTCCCACATTAATGCAAAAGAAAAAGGTGCCAAATTTTGTACACAGAATACAGCTCACCTTCATGATATAATCCAACATTGCCTCATCTGTAATCTTGTTCCCTTCTTGATTAGTCACATTGAAAACTGCCAAAAGAGTAACAACTTATAAAATTACCCCAAAAAGCCATGGTAAATTCCTTATTCAAAGTGAAAGGCACAATGCTAGATGGAATGAAAAAGGAAAAGTAAATTTTTAATTACCATCCATGAACCATCCACCGTCAGAGGAAATATAAGCCTTGGTAATGACAAGGTTAAGATCAGTTAAAACTAGTACAACCTCTAGAAGTATTCCATGTTTGTTAGCACTATCTACCTGCACCAGAATACAAAAGATTCAGCAAAATTAGAAATATTCCCTTTATATTAGCAATTTAGAGCCTGAAACAAAGAACCTAAACTCAGACATACCTGTATAATAGTGGCATTTTTGCAGGACTCATTGTCAATTACCACTCTGACATAAAGACAGTAAATATGGAGTAAATGTAAGGCTTAAATGGTATTGACTAACATTAAAGTAACAGTCAGAGAATTAAGAGAGAAACAATAGAAATAGTACCTTGGTGGATTCATTCTTCTGATAAATTTTTCATATTCATCATCCATGATGTTCTGAGAATAGCTAACTGTAGCTTTTGAGAAATAGGAAATAAACATAGAAAATTTCAGACAAAGAAAGCAAGGGAAAAAAGGGAAAAATAGAGAAAATCAGCATTACCAATCACAAAGAAGACACCGGAAACCAAGAGTGTAAAGTAAGTATAAGAAAAAGATGAAAATAGGAGGGGGGGAAAGAATAAAGCTGACCAATCATGAAAGAGTAAAATAAACAAGATATACAAAAGAAGGCCAATTAAGAAGCCAAAGCCAACACCCAAAAAAGGTACTTGTTGAGGGCTGTACCTATGTTTTAGGAGGTGGGACTGGTCTGGTGGGGCTATGTGTGTGTGCGGAAACCATAGCCATCAAAGCCATTACAGTCAATAATGTTAACAGCTCAAAGAAACATACTGATATTGTGTGAAACAACAGCAAAAAAGACCATCCAAAAATCAACACTGGACACACCAAACATTTTTATTTTTATTTTTACACACCAAACATTCAATAATGGGAAAAGAAACATAGCCCACAACAGACAACTAACAAATCTACCATATCCCACAACCATAAAACACAGCAAAAAGAAAAAAGAAACAAGTACTCCATTAACCAACAACAACAACAAACCACTACAGTGACTATAGTTAAGAAACAAGTACTCAAGAATAAGATTTTCTTGATCCTATACTCCATTAACCAGCCAAAACCCAAAAAAGTTGTTAAACTTTACCACTAAAATTTTAAACAAAAATTAACTTAAAACCAAAGAACAAGATGACAACGCTAACTCAAAAACACTCATCTATTGCAATTAACAAAAAATTAACTCAAACTCACATTCCACCCCAGTAAATCATTACTTTCAGAAGAACAGAACATAGAATCCATGGAACAGAAAACAAGAAAAAGGAGCAGAAAGGGGAAGTACCCATTACAATTCTTGAGGATTCGTGAATTGGGTCACCAAGATTTTCTTGATTCTCTCAACACGAAGAAAGCTTATCGACTTATGACAGGACCCTTCGCCCAACTATATGGTAACTGAATCTTGACCAGCTCCCAGTATATATATAAAATACTAAAATAGTAAGTAGTATTAAAATTTATGTATTTGCCTTATATGCAACAGGCACCAAAAAAAAAGTTGCATAAAACAAACAAGCAGACCTTTTTCTTTCCACTTTTCTGTCTAATTCTATGCTTTTGTGCTGTACATAAGAATATATACATAAAAAAAAACATGTGTGTATATATTTTAGAAAATCTCAGCCCGTGGCTTGCTAATTTCAGTTTCTGAAACAAGAGGAACCAGAAGGGATGGTGGGGTATGGGGTGACTCGGCGTATTTTAGCAATTGGTTGGGGAAGTTTGGTGTGTAGGAGAATAAGGTAGAGCTAAAATGCGCTGGTTGGCAGTACTATTTTACTCTTCCTCTCAGTTTATTTTAGGGAAAATATTCGATTTTGTCAATATACTACTATCAATTTTGCACTTCGTTAGTATCTTGCTTATTTATACTTTTCCAACCACTAATGAATTTTTAGGGTGAAATGGATGAATTTCACGTATTCTAATTATTTGATTGAGATTTAAAATTACTTTCAAGTTGAAACTCTAATTAAAGGTATGGTAAAAATAGAACTTTTTCCTAACAGTGGGGTACTGAGGCAAATGTAATGCTTTTCTCTTTATTTTATTTGATTAACAAAATATAAGAAATAAATTCATTATGTATAGAATATTAAAATTACCTTTTGATTGGGACCGCATAAAAACTTTCGAATACTAAAAGAGTACCTTTTTGAAGATAAATAGTAAATATATATATATATAAGTAACGTATTACAAGTAAAATCAATTTTCAAGTACGAGTTGACCTAACGTAGAATTAAAAGTCACCAAAGTTTGTCGAAACAGAGTGGGCGGAGAAAAAGGATAGTAAATTAATATCCTTTTATAACGGTTGTCGCCGGAGACTAGCGGTGTTCATAGTTTGGTTTGGGTCGGTTTTTTTCGAAAAAGAAACCAAACTAAGTAAGTCGGTTTTTCAAATATTGGAATCAAGCTAAATCAATTAAAAGGGTGTTTGGCTAAGCTTATAAGCTGGTCAAACTGGCTTAGAAGCACTTTTTGGCTTATCTACGCATTTGATAAAATTAAAAGTGCTTATAAGTTAAGTGCTTATAAGCCAAAAATAAGTCAAAAGCCATAAGTTGCCCCCCTCCCCCAACTTATCAAATTTCAGCTTATGAGCACTTTAAGTTTGACCCAAATATTTACTATTCTATCCCTAAAATACTTCTTTTTAAAACAAAACTCTTTGTATACCCAGTTCTTCAGCTACTTATTATTAATTTCAGCACTTCTATCCAAACACGTAAATGCTTATTTTTTAAATCAGCTTCAGCACTTAAAAGTGCTTTTCAGCTATTTAAATCAGCTAAGCCAAACGGGCTCTAAGTCAGTTTTTATCGATTCGGTTTTTCGGTTATTTATCGGATTTTTTCTTAAATATGAGACATACACTACCAAACGGATATTCCGGCTATTACATTTTCAACATAACACTATCAAATCAATTGTTCTTTGAGAAATTTATCATTTATCAAGATATATTGATGATAATTGAATCAATAGTGATGAATAATTTAACTACTCAATTAAAAATTGATTATTTTTAACATGAAATAATTTTTTTTTATACTTAGCAAAAGAAAACTACCAATCAAACTAAAATGTAAAGGCAAAAAATTAGATTATTAAATAGCAAAGAACTAGACTAAAAATATAAATGACTAATATGTACCATAACATTTTAGAAACTTTATATAAAAATATACACATATATATGTGTAATAATAAATTTAAATAGCTACTTTTATAGTCGGTTTGATTCGGTTATTTTTTTATTAGAATCAAAATCAAACCAAATTTGATCGGTTTTTAAAATTCAAAACCAAAACCAAATCAAACTTAAAAAGTATCGGTTTTTTTAGTCGGTTTGGTTCGGTTTTTTTAGTCGATTTGGTTCGAACTTTCGGGTTTTTATGAACACTCCAACCGGAGACCTAACTGTTTATTACTCTTAGCTCACTAAGATTTATATATTAAGGTTTAACCAAAAATCTATACCATAAACTACTTAAAATCAACGGAAAAGGTCCAAATATGACCTTAAATTATGTGAAATTGAGCGAATTTGCTCTTCGTTAATATTTTGGCACAAATACGCCTCTGTTGTATAATTCTTGTTCCAAATATGCTCTTATTTTAAACGGCATATGGAGGGCAAATTTGGTTCCACGCACATACTTTGTGGGCATATTTTGCTCATTAAAATTCTAAAAAATTTATGTTATTATTTTGTTTAGTTCATGGCAATGTAATTAAAGTTTGTAATGATAAAACTCAACCATTTGTTGGAACACTTATATCAATAAGTGACACCACGACTTCATATGCCTCAAAACATCACTAAATAACCATTTTTGATATCACAACAATAAAAACTAATACAATAGACTAGTCAACCGCCATAGGCAATAATTGAATCAACGGCATCAATCAAATGTATTGAATCTCAACCCAATAGCAAAAGTTAAACTACTGACTCGCTCCATGCAAACAAAACATGATACACTTTACTTAGAAACAAAGAGAAGCGTGGTTAAGGAACAAAGAAGTGTACAAAAACCTAAATCATTTATTGAAAGAGAAACCTCTCAAATTGATCGCTCACTGTATAGATTTCTCTTCCAACAAAATAATTTAGGTTTTTCTATACTTTGCTTCTATTTGTTCGTATTTAAGATTTACGTAAGGAAAGCAATCGATTTATGGTGGATTTTATCAATATAAACTTTCATTAACTTGTCATGAACCAAATAAGATAACTTAATAATGTAGAAGCTTAAGAATTTTAATGGACCAAATATGCCCTCAAAGTATGCGTGTGGGATCAAATATACCTTCCATATGGGATCGCTTAATATAAGGGCACATTTGGAGCAAGTATTGGACGGTAAGGGCATGCTTATGTCAAAGTATTAACGATGGACAAATCCTTTCAATTTCGCATAGTTCAAGGGCATATTTATACATTTTTTGTAAAATTTATTATAAAATTAACTGATTTTATACACTTTTTATATAATTTACCGCATATAAATTTTAAAACTGTGTTAGTATATAATATTTATCGGTAACTAATTTTTAAATGATATGATTGTGTTTCGTCACTGCAAAAATGTAACCCTTCATTTATGGTAAGTGTAGATTGATAAACTAGAAAACATAGAGATATGTAATGGACCTGCATAATCGGTCAAAATACTTTGAAATAAAGAATTTTTACTTATCTATGCTAATTTTGGAACTTTTTTTTGGTAATAAAGGATTTATTCAAACACAAAACTAAGTACTATTACAACGAAAGGTCAGTCTAGGTAACATAGTTCCTAGTCTGTCTCTTTCTAGTGCATGGGATACAAAAGCGGAAGGGGAAGCATAAGTAAACCAAACACCAAAAACGTCCATATTACATCCATCTTTAGTTAATAGATCCGCTACTCCATTAGCCTCTCTAAACACATGCTTTAGAGGAGGATCAGTCGCCGTCAACAATAGGCACGTGCAATCGTCAATCAAATTTTGATAGAGACAATTGTTAGAGATAATAAGATTGGTTAGTTCCAAGCAGTCAGTCTCAATTTTGAAACTTATTTATCCTTATTATTGAGATTTTAACTTAATTATAAGTTTATATACAAATTACCAATTATATACTTAGTAATTATAAATGATTATCCCTTAATTATAGACAATTAAATATGTAATAATTGATACCCGATCAATTTTTCTTTATATCTCTCTCTCTCCCATGTCTCTCTCTTTCTCTCTCTCATATTATGTGTGTGTTTTTTCCTCCGACCTATTGTTGTTGTTGTAATCTTCTCTGCTTCTCTTCTCTTTTCTCATTTCTATCTCTTGTCTTCTTCAAGGAATTCAACAATGAATTTCAATTGTTTAGCTATGGAGTTTTAAACAAGGACTTTGCGACTTGTATCTACGGGCATCACCATCGTCCTGGTCACAGGTTCGGCAGAACTCAATAGCTTTGGCCCAAACCCATGAGGGTGTTTGATTCTCCTTCATTGAAAGCCAATAAAAAGTTTCGAAGCTTTGAATGCGATTTTGATTTTTTTTAAATATTATTTACGAAAAAGGGCCAAAACTTCCGCCAGACTATTCGATTTGATACATAAATGCCCTCCGTCCACCTATTGCGTCAAAAATATCTCCACCGTTATTTTTTTGGCGCACTTATACCCCTACTATTAACGGTCAATGCCAAGTAAAAAAAATTTATTTAAATTACACGTGGTAACTTTTTATTTGTTCAATTTTAAACTATGATTCCAATTAAATAAACCCACCCTTAACCCATTTTATTAACCCAAAACTCTAACCCGTCTTAAAAAAGGCCAAACTCTTGATTGTCAAAAAAATTAACTTCTCCATCCTTCCAATTCTACCACCATCATAGCTGCTACCATCCCCTTTCTTCCATAGCAACCACGCTTCCACCACATTTTTAGTTTAGGGTAGTTTTGGTCCTTTTTTATATTTTTATCATTTTCTTCAATTTACATTTGCCATTGGAGCTGTTGTTGATACCCAATTTTTTTATAATATTTTCAAAACTATGCCTGGGTATCAATTAGTATTTTTCATACAATTTCTGCATTTTTAAAAATATTTTAACTAATTTCTCCCTGCATTTATTTTATAAAAACAATCACTGATTGCATCACAAATAGCTTTATAATAATTTTGTAATTTAATTTTATCAGTTACATTTGTAATAAGTTTTCATTGTTGCACAAATGGCCACATTTGTATTTTTTTTAGGATACAATTGCAATTACTTTGTAATTATAGCCTATGCGTGAATTATTACATTATTTTGCCGGAAAATAGCCTTTTATATTTTTAAAATATTAAGTAATTAGTTTAAAACATTTCTGTGTATGAAAATCATTTTTTATAATTTTATTAACTATTTATAAAATTGTTTTAGCAATTAATTATGTATTTAACAAATAGCCCCTTTTCATTTAACACTTAGCCTATCAACTAGCCCAATTCTAACCCTTTTGAACCAACCCAGAAACCCCAGGCCCAATACCCGTCTGTCCTAACCCTATACCCAGCCAAATCCTGGTCGTTGATCATTTTGATCAACTGTCTAGGTTTCCCTCTTCCTAATTAAACCTAATGACCCCCCCCCCCCCCCCCCCCCCGCCCCAAACCTAATTCATTTTACACCGTACACCGTCGTCACTTAATCCTATCTGCTCTCAAACGCTCTCAACCTAAACCCTAATCTCCAAACAATGTCACTCATCTATGGC